ATTTTTTAAAAGTCATGTGTTCCCAGCGGGGGTGTTCTTTACTCGAGACAGCGTTCACTGACGAGAAGTTTCTTGTTCAGAAAAGTTTTCATGAACCACTTTGTTCATGATCAGAAATTGCATGGTATTTCTTTTTATTATTACCTGAAAATAACTGGTTTCATATCAAAAATTAATATGTACTTCAAAATAAAAAAAAGAAAAACGTAAGAGAAACTGAACGCAACCAATAAAAATTTTCAGAACATCATAGTGAAATCCTTTTATATTTAATCATATGTATATTAATAGGAAATAATCAAAGTTTTTTTCTGACCTTATTGAAATCCTTTTGTACTTAATCATAAGTGTATTATTAGACAACAGTGTCAAATAACCTGGCGTTCCTCGACATATAATATATTTATAACTTTTCCTGTTCGTTATAGAAATGGGAATTTTGCGCTAAAGTTCCCGTTTTCTTAATACTATCACTTTGCTTTCTTAGAACAGGACACTGTTCAGCGAAGTTTGGATTTTTTTTACAACTGTCAAAAATTAAAGAATTATTAAAATGAATCGTACATCAAATCATTACTGCTTCAGATACTGAGGTCACTATCCCTTAATATAAACGTATGATTTGAATCATCAGGTTAGAAGAAAACAGAGTTTAATCTGTAGTGTAAATAATACAACAAAATAGAATTTAATTTGTTCTCTAAATAATAGAACAAAGCAGAATTTAATTTGCTCTGTAAATAACAGAACAAAGGAGAACTGAATTTGTTTTGTAAATAATAGAATAAAATGGAATTTAATTTATTGTGTAAATAATAAAAGAAAACAGAATTTAATTTGTTGTGCAAATAATAGAACAAAAGAGAATTTAATTTGTTGTGTAAATAATGGAGCAAAATTGAAAAACGGGTTGAATTTGTTGTATAAATGATAGAACAAAACAGAACTTAATGTGTTCTGTAAGTAATAATACAAAAAGAATTTAATTTGTCCTGTAAATATTAGAAGACTAAAACTAAACTCAGTGGCTTAACAGCCCTAATGGGTCAAGGCCTGCAGTGCCCGAAATCTACTTTCTTGACCATGGGCCCCGGGGTGCGTAAGCATGTGCCCTGAACAAGCGGTCAGCTTGTCGCAGGAGCCCCAGTGTTTAGTCCCCAAGCGAAATTTGTACCCATTTTATCGACCCAAGTGATGGAAATCAAGGGATGAAAGAAATATTAGAAGAAAAGAATTTAATTTGTTTGATAAATATTAGGAAAAAAGATTATTTACACAGCAAAGTAAATTATAGAACAAAAAAAAATTAGTTTGTTGTGTAACTACGAGGTCCAAACAGAATTTAATTGTTGTCTAAATAACAGAATAAAACATAATTTAATTTGTTGTGTCAATAATAGAAGAGAAAATAATTTAATCTGTTGCGTGAATAACAGAAAAAAAAATTAATTTGTTGCGTGAATAATTTAACAAAATAGAATTTAATTTGTTGTGTGAATAACAGAACAAAAATAAAATTTAACTTGTTGCGTAAATAATAGAACAAAACAGAATTCAACTTGCTGCGTAAATAATCCTTTTCTTTTCAGAGAGAGCTTAGCAGGAGAAGGGCAAAATGTTCTACCATTCATTGTATAAAATCAGACACCTCAAATCACAAACAAATCAATGAGAAAAAGAAGAAGAAAACATTAAAAACGTATTTTTGTTAGAAGTAAATTTTTGCCTTTTCACCTAGACGTTTTGAGACTTTTTAAGATTCTTAAAACATAGGCTCCCTTATCTTCTCCCCTGTTGTACACTCATGTTTGCTAGAAGTCAGTTTTAGCCTTTTCATCTAGCCTTTTTTAGACTTTTGAGTTATACCATGCTGACAGTTTTAATTTTTGTCTTTGGTAACATAAAATGTGAGAACTGTACAAGGACTTAAGCGACTTATAGCTATGTCTTGGAAATAATAAGAGACGTGGGAAGGGTCTAAAGAACCCTTTTAGTTAACTCAAGATAAAAGTTAACAGAAGGCATATTTTGTACTTACAGAAAATGCCAGTATATATTGTGTAAATCAAATAAAGAATAAACTAAAATTAACTAAGTAAATAGCAAGTTAGCCGAAAGGCTTCACAGACAAAAAACGCTCAAGTTGGCTGAGACCTAATATCTGCATGACAAGCCTAATGGCGAGAATAACGCAAAGCCGCAGATAAACTGCTAAAGAATTAATAACAGCCTGGCTTTCAGCAGGCGGAACAAACTATGATTCTTTCACCTTCTAAAACCGTTTACTATTACTTGTTACAATGTAAAATTGGATTTATTAATAAATACTAGATAATGGCGGACGTGGGCAGAAACGATTAACCGTAATGGTAGAGGAATTGTGCCCACGTCCTCCGTTGCTACTACTACTACTACCTTCTAAAACCTTCTTTCTGACTCATTTAAATACAGCAAACTAATTATTAGCCATCTGGCAAGAAAGTGGAAAGACAGAAAAGCTAATTAATATAAAATAAGTGGTTAATAAAAATAAATGGATACTCTACAATCTAAGCACCGATAACAGCGCCGCTGCTGTGCAAACCATATATCTTTAGGGTCCACAATTCATGAGGTGACTTACATCTTGAAGTTATACACAAAAAGTATGAAAATGAATTTACACGCATGCCGTATTACAATATTAGGAGATAAAAGATACATTGAGAAAGATACAATATAAAAAATGCAATGATTAGAGGTTCATTCTATAAGAACATCGATATTGAGAGTACATCTTACAGTTTTCATTAGGAAAAAAGAGGGAAACGCGTAGCCAGTGTACTGGTCATAGTCGTCATTTTAAGCTAGAAACACAATAGGTGTTTAAGGTTATTTCGCCTTTACTTTAACAAGACTTCTGCTTATTTAGCATTTTCATCAGACGCATGCGCTGTTTCTAATTTTTCATAAACATGTCAGCAAGTGAATTACTGACAACGGAATTTTTAGCCCAAACGATTGTTAGCCCAAATGGGCTAATTAGTCTCGAAACGCGATTTGGCTATGTATCACTTTAAAAGTCACTTTCCAGATTGTTGCCACGAAATGTCTTTGCCCTGTATTACTTTTAAATAAATTCAATCATGAAGAATCTGCTTGAATCTACGTATGTTTCTCTTCCTGTGAAAAAACGACTGTATCTAGGGCCATCAAATAACGTAGTCCTCCACCCGAACATGAGAACCTGGAAACCCGAATTTGGAATTTTATATTTCATGCTTTGTAAAACTTCTAAGTATCATGTTAATTTTCCTAACTGTTAAATTTTGAGTTAAAGTTCCTTTCCTGTCTTCCTGAACTTCAACTAACAACTTCCGGCCAGAACGTAATTTTAATATTGCGTTTGAATGCAAATGAGGACAAGTATTTAACCGTGAAGTTCTACTGACTTCGTGAGAGAGAACCAGTGATTCTGCCTAGCACGCGTCCGCCTTTTTAGGCTATTCTCTGTTAAGCTATTACTAAACTCGGTCGTACTTAGGCCCTTGACAGCTTCGCCGTTATTTAGAGCTAAAGGGCCAACTCGGTTAGAATTTTAATAGCTTCGGTTATATCTTTTAGTTAAGATTAGTTAAGTTTAATTTCTGAGTTTGATTTCAGGCCCGAGTAGAGTCTTTATTGCAAAACTCCAAGAAGGAGTTCTGTAAATTTAATTTGGAATAATAAAGGGTCTTTAACCCTTCTCAAGTTTTATTTACTGTCTCACGAACTCAAGCGATTAGTCACTTATCAGTTCTTAAGATTCTTCAACTTTAACTGTAACTTAAAAGTACACAGCACAGAATCATACAAACTTTCGTGAATTGTAATCAAATCAGCGATTTGAAAGCGAGTATTGGCAACACTATACGGAAACATCCTTATCTCCATCGCGCGAGACTTTATATCGGAAAACGATATGCTGTTTTTAAATATTTTGTGATTTTGTTATCGAACTGAATTTTATGCGGCTTAAGTGTGAAGTACATGATATTTAATTAATAAATTTAACACACAAAACGTTTATAATAAAAAGGCAAGAAAGTTTCGCGTGCTATCTTATTAAGAAAACTGCACATTGATATAATAAACTGACAAAAATAGAAAAATGTATGCCAACACTTAACACATGATTGGGAATTCTAAACACATGCGGCTTTTAAAATTTTTGTAATTTTTCTGTTGCTTTGTTTATTAGTTTATTGGTTAGCAGGAGTGAGAGCATCAGAGTTCAGTGAAGGTGCCATTAAAAATCGTGTGCTCAATCAGATTTTGTTTGGGGCTTCGATCGTAATCTTTCATATTGATTTTAACTATGCCATTAATGTTCTTGCGAAATCAATGTGATATTGTTTAACTTATTTCCTTTCATTCTAATGAATTCTCTAATGTAATGATTTATTAATCTAATAAATGGGAAGGGAGAACTGATCTAAAATTTTACAGTTAAATTTATGACTTTGAAACGAAAAAAATCGTCACATTTCGTCCGGCGAATAAGCATCCACTGATATATGCTGATATATGTTTAATCTTAACGTATGTAGTAATTTTATTACATATAACATTGCTATATTTATTACGTACTTATTTACAATTCTGTTGAATGATGCAGCACCAGTACCATTGCAGATGGTACACCAGCGATAAATTCGCTGAACACTGGTCGTTCCGATCTGGCTTCAGTTCCAGGCGAACGGGCTGGCTGCATGGGCGTTTTCTTGGTTTTCAACAGTGTCCCTCAGAAAGTCATCCACGAGGCATCCTTTCTTTAGGCAGATAACCCTCGCGTGCTTTAGCATTAAATAAACGAAAACAAACCATTGCAGATGAGAACTTTCGAACACCAGATGGTATCAGTGGCAGCGAAACTGATAAAGATAATTAAATGAATACAATATGAAGTCGTTTCTGTTATTGAAAAGAATCGCTTTGCTTGTTTTAACTTACGCTGTCTTTAATTTGAAATTCTTGATCAGCTGGACAAGGAGAACCGATGCCTGCCGGGCCTTGGACACCTTGGAATTTCGTTTCAACTTTTGGATTTTACCGTAAGTTTGTTGTTTATGTGTATTTCTGATTCCGGGGTCGATCCAAAAAAAAAAAAAAAAAAAAAAAAAGAAAAAGAAAAAGAAAAAAGAAAAAAAAAAAAAAAAAAAAAAAAAAAAAAGAAACGAAAAAGTAAAAGATCATTTTTACCATTTCGCTTTATTATTGTTGCATCTTGCGTATTCTTTTGAACTCAAACATACAGCTGATTAAGAATTTCAGCCTCCCTTTTGTGACGGTAGTAAGCGAAGTCAGCTGCCATAGGTCCAAGCTCTGATGCATATAACCGAAGTGTATACTATTAGGAAAAACACTTGAATTTGAGCAATGACGGTACAGATGAGATCACCATTAACTCCGCCCACAGATGTCACAAGAGCAGGAATTTGCTTACATTGCCAAAATTAATGTGAAGCATTATTAATGTGTGCAAATTAATGTGTGCCCTTGATAAATTCCATACACGATAGACACCATAACGCAAACTAAAACCATTGGGATAAGTCACTTTGTTGTGCAACCTGTCGTAGGGCCAACTGAAATATTTTTAACCAGTCACCTTGCATACCTTTTTGCGACGTAACTTCGTAACAAACGAAATGTAAATACTGTTACGAAATGCCCAGCTGCGGTGAGATAGCTTCCCTCAAAGCAGTTTAGTGTTGCCCGAAAATTGAAGAGGAAGGCAGGGTTTCCAGATTTGGCGCGAAATGGTCCATTTGGTGAAGAAATTTGAGATATTTCATACACAGATGCCAGAACATTCTAGAACACATATTTATAAACATATTTAGTGGTTTTCTCGGGAATCTTCTCGAAGGTAGGCTAAATCTATATATACCCTGACTTCCCTGGGAGAGAGTGGTGACTTGAATTCAAAGATTGGCTTAAGAGCGGTCGACCAAGTCGGGAGGTGTACTTTAGTGCTTTGCCGTGAAGCTGTCTTCACCGTTATAGCATGATAGCCTGAAGGTTGTGTTGCTGAGTGTTTCAGCGTGTTTGTCGTAGCTTTCGAAGAGTGTAAACGTGTCTTTCGAATTGTGCATGTTAGTGCACCGGCGAATGAATTGCCTTTTGATTCTTTATCAAGTGTTACCTTCAGTTACTCCAAATCCACGAACCCGTAGAACGCAACAATATGATTAACATTGTAAATACATCAAATGTGATATCAAATGTGAGAAGTTAAAAGTCTTACAAGGACTACTACTGGCCAAATTCAAGTGGCTGTAATAAGAGTATATAGTTCGCTCTTATGCGGCTCGCATTCGAATTCGGGAGAGTGTATGATGTTTGTAAGTATAGAGTGTCTTTGTGGCATGGGAGCACTTAAAATGTTGTCGAGCCGAAAGGTCCTCTCAAGAGGCTTTTAAAATTGAGACTTGAGAGGAGGATGTATATGTCAGAATACTGGTTACAGACGAAAACATCGCGGACGAAAACGTCGCGGAGAAAACAACGCAAGGCGAAAACGTCGTGCTACAAAACATCGTGGAGAAAAAAACATCGCAAAGAGAAAACATCGCAGTTCTAAAACATCGTGGTACAAAAGATCGTCGTCGAAAATAAAGCGGTTCAAAAACTTCGCAGTTTAAAAACATCGCCGTCGAAAATATCGTGGTAAAAAATAAAGTATCTACAAGTCATCGCATGACGATAACATCGCAGACATGCTTTTTTCAGGCTTTAATAACTGTAAATGGATATTCCCATAATGATTTGTGACCGCAAGTGATGTAAGGAAGGATAATTTTTACTTTCACATTTTTTTATTAACTAATAAATTTTTGCTGAAAAAATAAGAAGGAAAACTTAAGCATAGAAAATTAAATGCCAACTTAATAGATTATAATTTTTATGAAAAATTACCAGTGAAAATCTTTTATTAAAAAAGGATTTATTAAATGGTCTTTGTTAGTTAACTATGTCGATTTAAAATTCTATTAAGTGCTATAAGTTGCATTAATTTTCTATGCTTAAGTTTTTCTTCTTATTTTTTTCAGCAAAAAAACTCAGCAAAAATTTAATATTTAATAAAAAATATGAAAAAGAAAATTATCCTTCTTTACATCTTGCGCTCACAAATCATTATGGGAATATCCCATTTACAGTTATTAAAGCCTGAAAAAAAGCATGCCTGCGATGTTATCGACATGCGATGATTTGTAGATACTTTATTTTTACCACGATATTTTCGACGGCGATTGTTTTTTTAAACTGCGAAGTTTTTGAACCGCTTTATTTTTCGACGACGATGTTTTGTACCACGATGTTTTAAAACTGCGATGTTTTCTCTTTGCGATGTTTTCTCCCACGATGTTTTGTAGCACGACGTTTTCGCCTTGCGTTGTTTTCTCCGCGATGGTTTCGTCCGCGATGTTTTTGCCGCGATGTTATCGGCGGACACCAGAATATTTTGCTTCAAAACTGGGACGAAAACTGTGCATATTTTTATGTCAAGGCCATCTTTTCTTTCAGAAGCTTATTTCAATGCATGCCACTACAGAGACGTTTCGCACATTTTTGGATGACTTTGCTTTGCTATAACAAAATTTCATCTGCTTGGAAATCTTTTATTTATTTATTTATTTATTTATTTTTACCTCCCGCTATATTTTTTGGAAAGTATTAATTATCATCTGCTACTTGACAGTTTTGTTTTCACGTAAATGTTGCTTTTAAAGAAGCAATGGAGGGAAAGCTATGTTTCTGTTCCTTCCGAAGAAAATTATTAAATTTTATATTATTAATAATCGATATCTAGAGCTATACAAGCAATGTTGTCAACAGCAAAGGAGAAAAACATCATAATTTAGCTTCAAGTGGAAAAATTGTTCCAAATACATATCGAAGGAAAAACGGAATATTTCGAATGTTACAAAGGTAAAGATCTTTAATATTAAAAGAAATCCATCAAGTCAAAGGACAGTTGCAAAATCATCAAAATGCTCCGTGTCCACTATAAACAAAGTGATTAATACTGATCTGAATCATAAAAAGTCGAAAAAATCATAATATGCATCGTCGTTCACCACGCAGAACGCGCGCTGCAAAATTCTGTATGAGAAACATTTATCCGGACAAAAATGGAAAAATGTTGTCCCACTGGATAAATCTTTAGTGTATTTGAAGGACTTCAATAAAAAGAGATACCTGTATTACCATGAATAGGAGAAAAAAACTTAAATTATGGTTCAAAGAATCTAGAGAACCTTTTTTAAATGGATATATCATTGCTGTTGGTTTTTCATATAACGGTAAAAGAATAAATCGGTTTACGAAAAATGCTAAGATCAATTCCAGATATTATCAGAAACATAATTTATACCCAATTTTCAAACATAAAATACCTTCTCCTTACCCACAGTATCATTAGTTAATAGAACTGCAACAAGACAAAGCTAGCAGCCACACGTCACAATTCATTGTTATATCCTGTAAAAAATGGAACAAGCAACGGGTATCTAGGCAAAACCCTTCATTCATATCCTTACAAAATTTCCCGATGTACCCATGGACTTTTGCGCATTCGGATTTTCAAAAAGCAGATTGTCCAAGCGTCGACCTATAACCTTCCTTGGACTTTGGAAAGGTGTTCGAGAGGAATGCGATAAAGTATATCTTCTGGTACTATGAATGGCTTTATTGCCTTAGAAATTATAGAAAGATAGTGAAGAATAAGGGTTATCAAACAGAACGTTTAAAACACAAAACCTTTATGCAAAATATTTGTTTAAATACAGTGAAAATCGTCTAAGAAATGCGTTAACAGCCATGACCAGTGATTAAGACCTGTACCCGTATTAAAGCTTGCGGATAACATTTTATCAGATGTATTTCCATTTAAATTAAGTAAATATACTGTCTCACACTGACTTGCTGACATTTATACTGATCAGAGAAGTTTGCTGTTCCATTGCAGCTTTGACCTCTTGCAGGCATCAACATTTATACATCTATACCTAACAAATTTACTTAGTCCAGTGTAACGACTTCAGTGATGCATCAGTATCCAATACATAAATAAAAATTCAAAGTAATGTACCACTAATTTGAACCATTGCCTAACAAACTGCACGTTATGATAGTTATATTAACTAACATGCTTTATACCAGGTGTGAAATTAACATAAACTTTGATTTTTCAATTTTAAACGTGCATTTTACGACTAATTTCAGTCAATTTGATACATATCGTCGATGATAAATAACTTATACTTTTCTTTCCTACTCAGCAATTTTTTACATTTGATGTGCTCAAAATTCATCAAATTCAGTTGCTCAAGTCACTAATGCAATGTTTGACTTAGCGTACAATATTTTGTACAATGAAATAAAAATAGTTGGTAACTGCCACATTTCCCATATGGGGATCTGTAAAAATAAAACTATTGCTAACAGTAATGGATTTTTGAGATAAAACGTTTTTGTACAATAACACAAGACTTTGTGCATGACGTAAAAGTAGTTGGTAACTGCCACATTTCCCATATGGGGATCTGTAAAAATAACACTATTGATAACAATAATCGATTATATTGATAAATGTATCTCAATCACAGCATTATGATGGAAAGGAAGCTGTTTTTAAGAAAAATTGTGTTTTAAAAATTTAGCACTTAACGCATCACTCATATTTCTTATGAAATTATCCTCCTCAGACATTATAAGACTGATTATGTGTTTATAGTAGTTCGTCTTGTAAAGCAAGATTGAGAATTTTATAACTCATTATGAAACTACAGTACAAAGTCTGTAATCCGGACGTCCATTATCCGGAATGATCTATGATCCGGACCTCAAAGCCACAAACTTTACGCATGCGCGTAGAGAATGCACATACATTACGCATGCGCGCGTTGAAAGAAATGTTTAATAAAGTAAACAAATAAATATTAAGCTTTTTTTTTTGTAAAACTTGGTACCTTTAGATCATAATTGCTCTTTATTTCATAAATTATGGTTTCATACTTTTAATTGTATAATTTCTTGATGCCATCTTACCAGATTTAAATTGATGATCTATAATCCGGAAAAGCCCCTAAGCCAGAATCGTCGAAGTCCCGACAAGTACGGATTACGGACTTTGTACTGCATTTTCATAAAATTTTCAACCTTATTTTAACAATTTTTTTTAAATCTGTATTTAGGAAGAATATTTGAGAAATAAAGCTTGTATCGATTTGTTTACAAATACTCTACGTAGACTTTAATGTTAAATATAATGGATTGAATTAGCCTGAAACTTATAAGGAAAAGCGACTTGCAGTGATAAATAACCACATTTAGACGTAGCATAAAAATAACGTTTTTTTAAAAAAACTTCATATTTATAATTTTCATTTTATTTCAGGTCGCCGCTAAATGGAGTACTTGGATGCTCATCAAGGAATCTCTATAACAGCAAAGTCTTATTAAATAATTCTTATGCCTTTTGAAATAAAATGCTGTCAATTAAAATATTACTGTTACTGCTAATGTTAAAGCAATATTGTAAAATGTGCTACAGAAAAGTAAAGTCTTAATGCATATAAATTTTTGCATGCGTATTATGTTCATTCCTTTACGATACACCATCCATGATAATAACCGTCATATACACTCATGTCCATAAATTAAGGATAATTCGGAGTCACGCGGAAATCGAACTCTAAAATAAATATATCACCTGTAAAATCACTACTCACATCTTCAAGAATCATATGCGAATTTCAGGAAGTAACCAGATGTCACCGATGGTACGTCACAATGACGAGAGTATAAGAGAGTGATATATAAGGAATACAGGCAAAGAAGTCAAATTGTTCGCAGGCGCTTTATAAGCATTTCAGTGCAATAACCGAATAGTTATGACACAAAGGACGCATATGGATGATTTTTTACGTGGATAGAATTATCGGCCGTCTGGAATGTGGGGCGTACCCAACTGGAAGTCTCAGACGAACTTGGAATTGCCCAGAGTGTCATCTCCAGGCTTTGGCAACGATTCCAAGATGATGGTAATGTGAGTAGACGTTACAGCACAGGTTCGCCCCTGAGTTACAATGCCGAATGAGGACCGGTATTTGGCAGTTACTGCCAAAAAAAACAGGCGGAGCACAGCCTCAGACCTGTCTCGTCAGCTCTCTTCAGCCACTGGTACGACAATTTCAAAGCAGACCTGTGTACAAGACGCTTAGGGCAGATTGGTCTATATGCTCTAGACCTGTCAGATGCGTTCCACTTACTGCAACTCACTGTCGCCTGCGGTTAGCCTGGAGTAGAGAGCATGCATTGTGGACACCGCAACATGGGCTTGTGTGATGTTTTCCGACGAGTCCAGGTTTAGCTTGCAGTCTGATTCTCGAAGGACTTTCATATGGAGAGCTCCAGGTACCCGTTACCACCAAGAAAACATCATTGAACGACACCGTTACTGTGGTGCAGGAGTGCTGCATTTGGGGTGGAATTATTCTGGGTTTCAGAACTGACCTGCATGTTCAAATTGGAACCATGACAAGCCAAATCTATCGGGACGTCATTCTGGAACAACATGTACGTTTGTTTTGGGCGCCATGGGCGCACAATTTGTGTTTATAGATGACAACACCCGTCCTCACCGTGCAAACATCGTAAGCGAATGCCTTCAATCGGAGGATATCACCCATATAGACTGACCAGCATTCTCACCGGACTTGAATCCAGTACAGCACGTGTGTAACCGGAACTTCGGAGAGCATTGCGTTTTGAGTGGTGTAATATCCCCCCAAGATCAGATCGATAATTTGATACTCAGCATGCCTAGGCGTTGTACGGTGTGTATTGCATCGTCTGGGAGACATACAATGTATTGACAATCATACCAACCATGTAATATTGGTTTTTTGTAAATAGGTTTTTTTTTGTAATTTGCTCCAGGGAGAAAAAATCGTAATTTTTTTAATAATATCAAACATACAGCATCTTTTTTTGCTCTTTACCTTTTGTTTAATAAATAAGCTTTACAAATAAGTCAAATTTGTTTTGCTTCTAACTCTTCCTTTGCCTGATTTTGCATTATCCTTAATTTATGGACATGAGTATAGGTTGGACCATGAAAAATGGAATGTTATACAAGTGGGAAATTTCATTAAAAAAATATCTGATCTGGACACCACATAACTTCCTGGTACGGCCTCTTAAATTATACACCTTTTTCCTAAACTTAATAGAAAACCTATTTCATTCAATTTCATTAGAGATATATTTCTTTGTCATTTCACGGCAAGGCAAAAATACATAAAAAACTCAAAATATCTCCATTTAATAAATTTTAAAATGTAGAATACAGAAAAAACTGAAACCCCAAATAGAGTTAAAAACAGTTAAAAAAATTTAAATTAAAGTTTCTACGCAAAAATAAGCAATTCGGCCAACGGGCGGGAAGGCCAAATTTTGGAGCACACAAGTGAAAGTTAACTTTCGTTCCACTTGGCAAAAAAACATTTCAGTCGGTGCAGCACCTGAATTAATTCACTACTCTACTAAGTTTCAAATGTAAACAAATATCCGCGTCATTAAGTCTAGCGCCACTTAAACCCTTAATCAGTCTTCAGCTATTGCATGCATATTAACTAGAAACATGAGTATCAGTCTTCAGCTATTGCATGCATATTAACTAGAAACATGAGTGGATCGTTTTATGCGTCCAGTCGGGATACCGGCATTGGAAGATATCGCAGAATTTCTGCAGGGGAAGAAAAAGTACTAAACGCAGTAGGGGATAATCCTTCCTCAAGATTCGAGAGCTGAAGGATGTGCGTTGGGTGTGAGCTACGCAACTGTGAGGCTTTACATGAAGATGGAATGCATCCCTATCATTTACAGAGAGGGCTGATAATGATCCCTGATTATTATCTTCCACGTCTTAGCTTTGTTACCTACAGCGGACTACAGGTAAGCAAATGTTCCCTGCAGATTCACTCAGTATGCTACCTTTACGCGTTCATATATGTTTAACATCCATAATTCTCACATGATAACCCACATGGCACAATAGCACATGCCTACCAAGAAACGTTTTCAGTTAATGTTTGGGCAGGCATTGTGCACGATAACTTAGTAGGACTGTACATTCTACCTAGTCATTTAACTAGCTATGCTTACAGCATCTTCCAGCATGAGGTCTTACCTGAATTTTTGGTCGATGTTCCTCGAGCTATTCGTAGTGGTTCCAGCATAATGGAGCCCCAGCTCACTTCAGGCGGAACGTCATAATTCACGTGGACACTGTCTACGGCCAGGGTTGGATAGGTCAAGGCGGACCATTTCCCTAGCCACCTCGTTCTTCTGATTTAACCTGCTTGAATTTCTTCTTTTAGGGTCATATTAAAAGCCTCGTGTACGAGAACTCCATCACATCGGCAGAAGATCTTGTTGCCCACTGGTCTGTTACTGCCGGATATGTGCTCGATATGCCTCACGTCTTTTCTAATGTACGCCGATCCGTGGCACCGCTATGAATCTTGTATCCCTGCTGGTGTCCGCTGTTCCGAGCACCTATTGTAAACTGTTAATATTTTTTTTTGGCCTTTACTTATCCTTTTAGTTTCCTGTGTTTCATACTGCTTTACATGAGAGCGCTTTAATGCGGCATTACGGCACACACATTTCTGTACGAAATCTGCTTATTCAGGTCTCCTCTACCTGCGTTTACATTTTTGACATATAGTTTTGAACTACCTTGTATATATGTTTGGTGCGATCGATTACAATGAAAAAGGAATGTGCGCAATTACATTTTATAGAAGTTCGATATCCAAATTTTAATGTTCTACGGCTAATCGTTTTTTGAGTTATACGAGATACATAGACACATACGTACGTACGTATGTACAGAAGTCACGAAAAGAAATTCTCTTCAGAATCCTTTGTAAATACATTTTGAAATCCGTTTTGAAAGAATGAGTCCATTATTCTGTCCGTACGCATAGATATCAAGCAAAAAATCATGCAAATGGATTCGAGAGCAGTCAAAATGGATATTTTAGTTGAAATATCCATTTTGACTATATGCGAAATGCGAATGGATATGCGAAATTTTTCGCTATTACACTGCTTCCTTTACTTAATAAAAGGAAATAAAAAGAATATAAATATCTAAATAAAAATAATGACATAGATAATAAAAAAGCATAAAAAATATATGCATACATTTCACATCATTTCATAGCAGCAGTATTATAAAATAAATTGATCATTATGATTATTAGTCATTATCAATACCATTCATAAATGATTATCAATATCATTCATAAATCATTATCAATATCAGGCCACCCAGCAGCCGAGCGGTAAAATCGCTGAACACTGGTAGTTCGGTCCGAGGTTCAAATCCCGCGAACGGGCTGGCTGCATGGGCGTTTTCGTTGTTTAACGTGTATAGGAGCCAGTTCCTCTTAGAAAGTCCTCCACGAAAGCATCCCTCCCCTTAGGCAGATAGCCCTAGTGTGCTTTATACACACCATACACCATTATCAATATCATTTATTTTAGTTGCCTGCATGTACAATATAGGCATACATCATGACGCATATTTTTAATTAGAGGACTATCACGCTTATTATATATGTTATGTTATCCAGCATCAAGATATAAACAAAAAACGCTTGAAAAGCCAACATAAAAGAGTACTCAAGAACAAATGTGAATGTGCAGACGAGCTATGAAATAGTTCACATGAAAAATAAAGGAGAAAAACTTAATCATACAAAGTGCATAGAATTAAGCTGTGCAACAGGCGGATGGAGAACGTTCTGGAACGAATTCTTACCGGCTTGGCTCATAATGTTCTCGAAGACAAGCCAAAAGCTATACAAGCCCCCTGCTGTATTCGAGTAACAGCATAGTAGAGATGGGGTTAGAGTATCGCGAAGGCGCGAATCGAAAGTTTGCATTGTTGAGGCTATCGAGTGTATCGTCAAGTGCATCGCGAGTTGTAGGCGCGGAGAGTCTCGAGAGTACGTAAGCTTCCGAGAACGACCAAATGAGTCAGGAAGTCGATGTACATAGTGCTGCCTGAGTGTTTACCTGAGCCTGATAGAATAAGGTGTCTTCTTGTTATGTTTAGCGTATTGTTGTTGCAGTTTTCAACGACTGTAACTGCCGTTCTTGTAGCTATCTGAGTAATAATGGCCCTAATAATTGTGTTCATATTATCGGGTTACCTCTAAATACGAACCCGTAGAACGCAACAATATTATGCCCAGTCTCCTTCCTACTGGTAGTACTGAGGCAGATAGCTCTCGAGGGCTTTGCCATAATCAAATAAATTAAACGAAACCAAACAACTGGTAGTACTGAAGTAAATAAATACATCATATAATTGATTGCATATTGCAGTCTAAATCAGTTTTTATTCATTGGATCGACGCTGCGTAGACACAAGTGTGTATTATCGACACAGTGTAGAATCGACACCGGCACAGGATCGATACTGTCATAGATTGATATAATAAAAAAAGAAATTTTCATAATGATATCATAATGAGCAAGAGGATCGATATCCATCGGTCCAA